GGCACCTGGGACCAACCCTGCCAGTGGTCCCTAATCTTGGGCCTCCAGATATATTCTTGGGCCTCAACTCCCAGAAATCCTGGCCACCAGAGCTCATGGTGAAGCCTTCTGGGAGTTGTAGTCCAAGAGCATCTGGGTCACCCAAGGCTGGGAGCCACTAAAGCCTTCCAGCTCCGTGTATTTTAAAGTTTCTTGGTCTTTATTCATTTGCATCAGTCCTTCTTTGCTCATCCCTCTCTCAGTCTAAGAAATTCTTACCTCCTGGTAAGAAATCCTTCCTTTAATGATAACATTATAAAATCTGACCATTTTGACCTCATACAAATATCCTGCTTAGATCTTGTGGCTAAATGGCAGGGGAAGAGTACTGAAAACAGCACGTTGAATTGTGGATGCTTGGTAGGATCAGACTGAGTTTGGGCTTAGATAGGAGGCCACCCAGTGGGAGCCACGAGCCACCACCCCCACCTGCAGCCTCCCTCACTGACGTGGTCTCTGCTCCTTCCCACCGCAGCCACGCCGGAGCCCCTCCGGTACCTCCTGGAGCCCACGAGCCAGACGGTGCTGACCCAGCGGGGTGCCACGGCCACCCTGCCCTGCATGTTGCAGGTCCTCCCGCCCAACTACAAGGTCCGGTGGAGCAAGGTGGTGCCGGCTGAGCACATGGAGGTGGTCCTCCTCATCACCAACGGTGCCCACCACAAAACCTACGGCCCCCTGGGCAGCCGGGTCCGGCTGAGGCGCAGCCACCGCTACGACGCCTCCCTCACCATCTCCGACGTGGCCCTGGAGGACGAGGGGCGCTACCGCTGCCAGCTGGTCGACGGCCTGGAGGACGAGAGCATCTCCTTGGTCCTGCAGCTGGACGGTAAGGGGGTGGGTTGGTCCAAGCTGATCCAAGAAAGATCACCAGGACCGCCTGGCCCCTGAGTGCCCTTTGGACCTTGGCCATTTCGTGAATCCACCATGCCCCCCTCCCCTTTTCCCATCCCTCCTTTTCCTCCAGGCATCGTCTTCCCCTACCAGACCAGCAAGGGGCGCTACAAATTCACTTATTTCGATGCCCAGAAGGCTTGCCGAGACCAGGATGCTCAGCTGGCTACTTACAGGCAACTGTACCAAGGTGAGCGTTCCTTGGTGGGCCTCTCTCTGCTCTCCACCCCCCACACCCCCACCCCATCCCTGGCAGGGCTGGCCTCCTTGCCAAGGGGCCTTGCCTTGATGTAGAGACACACAAAGAGAGAGAGAGAGAGAACAGGAAGGGGGAAAAGGCTCCTCTGGATTGATTTCTCTCTCTCTCAGGCTCTTCGTTCCAGCTTCAGTCCAGAGGTTTTTCCAGGTCGAGGGGGACCCACCAAATTAACCCCTTGTAGAAATTGGAAGGGGCTCCCAAGGCTCATTGAGTCCAATCCCCCTGACTAGGTACGGGAGTTGTCTCCCCGCTGATTTCATCCAGTTGGATTTAGGCCTCAGGCGCTGGAGAAGAGGGCGACCCCCGAGGGGAGGGGAGGGGAGGGGAGGCGGATGAAAGGGTGTTGCATCTTCCCACTTCCTTCCTGGCAGCTAGAAATGCTCTCCTCTCTTCTTCCCAGCATGGACAGAAGGCCTGGACTGGTGCAACGCTGGCTGGGTCATGGAAGGCACAGTGCACTACCCCATCATCAATTCCCGGGAGCCCTGTGGCGGGCGGCTGCTTCTGCCGGGGATTCGGACCTACGGGGCCAAAGACAAGCTCAAAGACCGGTTCGACGCGTTCTGCTTCACCTCGACGGTCAAAGGTAGAGGGAGACAGGAAAAGGGCAGCAGGACGGGTGTGTGTGTGTGTTGTGGGGGTGTGGGGGGGGAGAAAGTGACTTTACTGGACCAATAAAAGGCAATAAATGGGTAAGTTTTCGAGGCCAACAAGAATCTTCATCAGGATGGGCATGGAAGTACTTTGTGGGGGGAGAACAGAGAAACCCAGAAACCCTCTCAAATCCTGGTTGGATAGAGAGGACACAAATCTGCTTAAACAAGAACACTGAACAGTTCGTTAGGGAGGAAAACAGCTGGAAGGTGCTGATGATGGGGTGATGATTTATCTTTTAAACCATTTAAAAACATTTATCTTTTAAGTATTTTATTTATTTATCATTTGTTTATTTATGATTTTAAATCATTTATCTTTTAAATTATTATCTTTTAATATTTAACTTATTGTGTTTCTAAATGGTGTGAATTTTAATGTTGTGAGTCACTTTGGGTTCCTTGTTGGGAGAAAAGCATGATATAAATTTAACTGATGATGATGGAGGAGGAGGAGGAGGAGGAGGAGGAAGAGGAGGATCTCTGCTCTGGGTTGTTGTTTAAGCCAGGAGCTCTCCAGGGTGCTGAACCGAAGTTGGGAAAGGTCTTCGGCCCCTCGGAGGGTTCCTTTAAACGTCTCTCTAAAACCTGGCAGGGAGTCACTGCCCTTCCGTGTGACCAGCGTCTCCCAAACACATCTGGAGGGGCACATCTGGCCCACCCCCTTTGTGCTTGGCGGGACAGACTGAGAAAAGAGGTCACAGAGCAGAAGGGCAGGAAGCTCGGCTCCCACGGCGGGAATAAGGGAATAAGGTAAAGGTAAAGGTTCCCCTTGACAATTTTTGTCCAGTCGTGTTCGACTCTAGGGGGCGGTGCTCATCCCTGTTTCCAAGCCATAGAGCCAGCGTTTTGTCCGAAGACAATCTTCCGTGGTCACGTGGCCAGTGTGACTTAGACATGGAACGCTGTTACCTTCCCACCGAG